TAGTTACTAAATACACTTTATAAATTTGAAAAAAAAATTTCCTCAGGCATTTCTTTGAAAAATAAGTTCTGAATTTTTTTCTCCTTATTTAGGTCAAAGTTGGAAATTGCAATACTCCTAAACCAAGCTTCTTTGATTTTGAAGGAAAGCAAAAATGGTAAGAAATTCTTGATATTGCTAATGAGGTTGTTGGAAATGATTTAGGTGTTTAGGAATTAGAAAGTAGTGAGCAGATTAAAGAATTATTTTTTTATTAATCTCTCTCTGCAATGGACTGTGCTAATGACAGGCATTTGGGAGAGAGATTAAAAGAATCCGATTTTAGCTAAATCTTCTAAAGGATTCTCATGCCATGATGTTCACAACAGACATACATTCTCTGTGTATGAATCGCTTCTTAGAAAGCTATTGCTTGAGGTTTTCCTTTTCTGTCAAACAACCCCTAATGGGTCACTGCTTCTTCTCTTTGAAAGGATTTTTGGAAGGAGGGGAAAATGATAGATTCTGATTCTTACTCTGAATATGTAATAAAGAATTACACCCCTTCCTCCGTTTTTTTTTTTTAACTTCTAATTCAAAGTCTCCCTCTTATCATTTATGAGGCCTTATTTTCTCTGATCTAAATTAAAAAAGAGAACTTGAATGCAATAGGGAACCTTTGTTATAGAAGAGAGGACTTTGGAGCCTCAACATTGGAATTAAAAGAAGTATGGAGGATAGAGTTAAAAAACAGCAGATGAAATATGGTTGTCAAAAGAGGAAGTGCTAAGAAAATGGATTCTAATTTTATGTTGTAGAGTAATGCTACTCAAAGTCTGGTCCTCTGGACAAATTGCCTGTCTGCAAATTGTTACTTATCTGTAAGGAGATACTGAAGTTGAACCAGAATGTAAATCAGTTATGTCACTAAAAGCACATTGTTTAGTTCAGCTGACATTTTTTTTTTTTCCCAGCTGACATTTTTTGTATAAGACTTTTTCAGTGAAGGAAGCAGTACTTTGCTTTACATTTTGGCACAAGCTTTCTTTGCTGGTAGTGATGGTTTTCTGACATACTTACTGCTGTTCTAGAGAATACCTGATAGAACATTTATTGTATTTTTTCTTGTTTTAATTTGTGAAATTTTAGAGTTTCACTCTTACTTTTTCCTATGTCTTACCTGTTTGTCCATTCTTTATAACAATGAAAAAGAAGTTTAGATTTAACAACCACCATCCAAAACAAAATCCAAAAAAACTCACTGCCATCAAGTCGATTCTGAGTCACAGTGTGTCCAGCCAGATGCTTTAACCACTGCACCACTTGAGCTCCTTACAACCACCAAAGTTATAATTAATTCAGGTAGGAATCATCAGTAGGTGCTAAAACTATTACATGAAAGACTGTTGGGGAACAATATTTACATAGTCTGATCCACAGTTTACTTGCTAATTACAAAGGAAAGCTCTAACAGACGCTGCTTTTACCATGTCATCAATCTTATCATTGATGGTGGGACAGAATGACATCATGTGCTCGATGTGATGCATTTGAACGACATGTCATCTAAATATATATTGCTCTTGCCAAAATATTTAACCTCATTTTAGTTCACAATGAACCATTTTTGGCAAGAACACTATATAGATGAGGAAATGATCACAAATCCAAATAGAGAGATATTTGGTAAAATAACTAGTTTGTGGTTTTAAAAAAGGTCAGTGTCATGGAAGACAAAGACTAAAGATATGTGAAACTCAATGCTATATGTGAATCTTGACTGGTTTATGATCTGGGGGAGAAAACTAAAAAGGACATTATTGGGACAATAATAGAGAAATCTGAATGTGATCTATATTTAGATAATATTTATGTTAAATTTCCTGAATTTGGTATGTGCCATATATATCAGCATGTGTGTGTATTTAAACATGTAAATGTATACAGGTAACTGAAGAGATTTAATGAAAATAAGTTTAGAAAACCTCAGGAAGGGTGTTACATTCATTATAGGAATAGAAAGATACTGCAACAACCACCACAACAACAAAATGTGGAACTGAGTTCTGTTTTATAGTAGATCAGAGAGATAGGGAACCCCTGGTTGGAGGTAGAAAGGATTGGCAGGGAAAAAGCAAGAAAGAGGCATATCCTAGCAGCTTGTAGAAAAAAAGAAAGGGATGACCTAGAAGGAAGCTCAGGACTAAACCATTACTCTTGGTATTTACACTGTAGGAAGTCCCTACCGTTTAACTCATTAGTATTCTCATCTCTATCCTTACCACCCCTCACTTTGGAAGTCTCTGGCTAAGGGCTCAGGATTCACAAAAGGGATAGTGTCTTTCTTGCACCTCAAATAAGAAATCTTGAAGTATTTTTCCAGGGAATATTTTGTGTGATGATTAGTTTCTATATTACTGATGCTGTTGCTACAAACTATAATTTACATTCTGGTTGCTGTCGAGTCAATTCTGACTCATGGCAACTACTTGTGTGCAGTTTTCAAGACTGGCCTTTTGGAAACAGATTGCCAGGCTGTCTTCCAAGGCGCCCATGGGTGGATTCATTGAAACTTTCAGCTTTCAGTCAAGCACTTAACTGTTTGCACCACCCAGGGACTACTGATGTCTTATCCACTGCCATCAAGTCAGATCTGACTCATAGTGACCCCTCCTTGGGTTTCCGAGGTGGTATCACTACGAAAGTAGATTGCCTAACTTTCCTCTCTTGGTTTATAGACATGCTTTCTCAACAGGGATAAAAATTGTGTTTTAGGGAGAGGGTAAATACAATCTTAGATATTAAAATGGTTTATAGATAGGTAGGTAGATAGTTATCTAGTTGACTTCCACATATGATGATCTTATGTTGAAGAAAATAAAACATTGCCTGGTCCTGTGTCATCCTCATGATAACCTACATGTTCCTATTCTACTGTGGTGGCTGTTGAGCCAGTTTATCCCTCCACAAGTCTCCCTCACCCTTACTGAACCTTTACCTCACTGGCCCTCTGCCTCACCAAACATGATTCCTCCACTAGCCACTCATCCTCTTGATGATGTGTCCAAAATAAGCTAGTGTTTTGTTGTGATCCATAAGGTTTTCATTGGCTAGTTTTTGGAAGTTGAGTGCCAGGTCTTTTCCTAGTCTGTTTTAGTCTGGAAGCTTTGCTGAAACCTGGCCACCATAGGTGACCCTACTGGCATTTGAAATACCAGTGGCATAGCTAACAGTACCAAAGCAACACACAAGCCACTGCAGTATGACAAACTGACAGATGGAAGGTGGACATTGGTTTATAAACCTATTGTCATTGAGTTGATGTCAACTCACAGTGACCCTAAAGGACAGAGTAGAACTGCCCCATAGGGTTTCCAAAGTTGTAATCTTTACAGAAGCAGACTGCCTCATCTTTCTTCTTCTGAACAGCTGATGGGTTCAAACTTCTGACTTTTTGGTTAGCAGCCAAATGCTTTTAACCACTGTACCACCAGAGCTCCCTAGTGGTTTATAGTCTTCTAAAATTTAACAGATATACAGTATGTCTTTGTTATTAAATTATCATGGAGTAGGATGACTAGGGGGAAAAAAAATGTCTGAAAAGCCTCATTAGGTAGGAAAAAAGGTTGAAAAATTGCTATAGACCGGTGTAAATACAAAAAGAGAGGGCTACTCATCTATGGCTTATTATCTCAAGATCCCCAAACCCTTAAAATGTGTATATAAATTATTTTTTATTAATAAAAAACATGCTGTTTATGTTAATTGCATAGTTAATGATAGGTCATTTTGGATATTCTGTACCATAGGGAAGCATGGAAAGCACTTGGTGATTCAAGCCCCAGCCAAGCAATGCAGGAATATATCGCAGTAGTTAAAAAATTAGATCCAGGTTGGAATCCTCAGGTAAGACTTAATGATTGTAAATGATGCTTTCTAAAAACGTACCATCTTTCTTTCACATTTTAAAAACTAAGCATAGACATAAGTAACATTCCCAAAGTTTTATTTTCTCAAATAAAAGATTATAAAGTTAATGCAACTTTTATCTTACTAAATATAGTATTGCTTAAATAACATAACCAGCCAGTAACACTGAAAGCGTCTCTGAATTGTATTGATTTATTAAAAGTATAATAATTATTTTCAATTGTGTGAAAACTCATTTCAGAATTTGAAGGAGTTTAACTTGAGATCATCATTGTTATCTTGGGAAAAGGAAAGTTTCTCGATTTTTTAATTTTTATTTAAATGAGTACTTCTGTGCAAGTACACAATGCTTACTGATAGAAGATGAATAAGACATGCTTTCTGCTACTGTATAGTTTAAAGAGTGGTAGAGAAGGTGAAAGGTATAACAAATATGATAATAGTATCAGACAATAATACAACAAATGTTAGGGAGTATAGTGGAAGGAGACATTGTTGTGGACTTTGGAGGCATAGGATATCGTTCATTTAAATTTACTGTTCTTTTATACTTATTGTATATACTTATTGAATAATCTTTTAAAGCATCTAGAAGGAGTTTTAAAAAGGTGGGCTTGCTATTTTATTAAAATTTTAATGCATGATTGACAGGTGTTTCAATGAGATAGAGGCTGTATCAATACCATGGTAAAAATGCAAATTGCGTATTTCTTTTTAATCAGGATATGTAAGCCAAACATGTCAATGATGAATGAATTAATTGATAATATTTATAATAATTATTTCATGAGTACGTAGTTATTACCAGAATTTTTGTTCTATCAAAAATGGAATCTTAAAATCTCAGTTGTCAGTTAAAAGAGTTGTTGTTGTTGTTGTTATGTGCCGTCGAGTCGCCCCAACTCATAGCGACCCCTCCTTGGGTTTCCGAGGCAGTATCACTACGGAAGTAGGATTGCCCAACCTTCCTTCCGAGGAGTGGCTGGTGGGTTTGAACCGCCAGCCGTCTGGTTAGCAGGCAAGTTTCTTAGCCACTATGCTACCAGAGCTCCTAGTTAAAAGAGTATATACTGTGATATATAAAAGTATCTTCATTATAAGTACAAAGTAGAAGGGATACCAACTTAGGGTATCTTTAATAATGACTGCCTTTTAGAAGTCATTGAAAAATTTCATAATGTTTTTGATTTGCATGAATACTTGTTCTCAGAAATTTTCCATTTTATTTATTTTACAAAACATCAAATATGCATGCAAGGGCTTAAAATTCAGTGATCAAGACAGATGCCCCTCTGAGCCAAACTCATTCTGAAGACATGGCACAGTGCTTAAAAAACTAACAAAATATGAATTTGAGTGCTAGGTAAAGTACTTCCTCTTTAGGCCTAGTCACTGTGGTCTCAGTTCTTTCCTATTGATTTGTTCTTGCTACTTCTGTTACCTGGCCTGTGAAGGCAATTAGTTTATAACTACTAATAAATGATAGAATTTATGATTTATTACCTTTGCTAGCTTAATTACTAACCAAAATTCTGTTGTCCACCTCTTGTTGGACAATGAATAAGAAAGATTGAAGAATTAATTATTGATGGATTTGAATTATGATATTGGTGAAGAATATTGAATATACCATGGACTGTCAGAAGAAAGAACAAATCTGTCTTGCAAGAAGTATATTGAGGACACTCCTTAGAAGTGAGGATGGTGAGATGTGGTCTCATGTACTTTGGACATGTAATCAGAAGGGACCAGTCCCTGGAGAGGGAAGACCTTCAACGAGGTAGATTGACACAGTGACTGTGATGATGGACTCAAACATAGCAACCATTGTGAGGATGACACCAGACCAGGCAGTGTTTCATTCTGTTGTACGTGGGGTTGCTGTGAGTTGAAACTGACTGGAGGTTGCCTGACAACAACTATGAGTTTACAAATGCTTGCAAATTCCATGGGGTTATGTAGTTTTTGCTTATGGAAATACAAACAGGTGTTAAGAATGCTTTTTAAAAATATCCAATTCACACCTATTGGACATAACACTTAGTGAACCAAGCAGAACCAAAGGCTTTTTCAAATAAAGATCATTTGTTAATAAATTATAGGTAGACTCCGACTTATGATGGGGTTCTGATCTGATGACTCTGTTATAAGTCAGTTCTGATGTAAGTCAAATAACTCTTTTTTTTTTTAAGTATTGTTGCCTTTTATTATCAGTACCTTTATAAATCTGTCAGTGTTTTGAACAGTAAATGATGAAATTGAACTTCTGTGAGTGAACATCTAAGAATGATAACATCAGCAAATTATTCACTGCAACATACTGCTAATGATAAGATGTGCAGAAAAAAAAAACACAGTCTTAAGTGTGGTTTGGGTGCTTATAAGTATGGCTCATCATAATAAATATGTTGTAAGTCAGGGACCATCTGTATTTTTAAGATATTTGAAAGTGGTGATCTCGTTGTAAAGAGTGATTTTTTTATTTACATTTTTACTTTTAGTTTAAATACTTTTGAGCTGATCCTCTTTGACTCATAGCCTTTTATTCTTCCTTGTGTTTAAACTAATATGGGGCAGATCATAGTCAATTTTAGAAGCGATTTGGCATTCAGTTCATTATCTTTTAGATTAAAGAATAGTTTTCTTTTGATTTTTGTTTTTAGAAACAAATGAAGTAATAACACTCATGCTGAATATTCTACATTCTTTATATGTGTTGTCCTTTGAAATCTTCACAAAAATCTTAGGAGTTAGAAACTATTACTTTTGGCATTTTAAAAATGAGGAAATCCAGGCAAGAGAAGTTTAGAAATTTGCCTAAGATTAGCCAGCTGATAAATGATGGGACTGGAATTTGAACTTATGCTTATGTGAGTCCATGGCCCCCACTCTTAATTAACCCTTAACGTACACTTACAAGTATGTGTGTATCAGAGTGTTGGACTCATTTGAACTGATTCAGTAATGGCCAACAAAACAAAACTGGAATGGATCTGAATTTTTAAAATTTGGGTGAACTGAAACAGGAAAAGTTACAGGTGGAAGCCCTGGAATGGGAGACTCAGAAGAGGGATAGTGAGCCCCATCAGGAGCCTTATTTGTGACATTGGATTATTGCTAGGACTGTGGAGAGTGGCACACAGAGGAGTGTGGAGAGTAACACGTATCGAAAGGGGTGCTGTTGGCTGCCGTCTTTGAGCCAGACCCACTGTTTTTGACCTAGGCAGTTGAGAGATTTGGTTGCTATGCAATACACAAGCTGCTCTTTTCTGAGTGGAAGATTAAATTTCTAGCAGACCTTTGACCTGAAATTTTTCCAGTTCCAGTTAGCATTCTGGTTTACCTATATTTAAAAAATTCTGATCCGTTCCAGGGTTACTTTGTTAGTCATGACTGACCTGAGCTAGTTTGAAGCCCTGGTCTATATATAAGAAATTCAAGTAAAGGTAGTTACTATTTTTCTCAAAGCTACACAGTAATTGAAGTATAGTATAAACAATGGTTTAAAATGCAACCCATTGACTATATTTTCTGTCGTCTCATCTTACCAAGAATATCTTGTTGAATGTCTAATATAATCAAGGGAATTCTTCTACTTGTGTTTATTTGTTTATTTATGGCAGGAGCAAGTTTTAATTTTGATAATAATTTTGTGAATATAAAATTTTCCCTTGGTTAAGATGGTGCTTGCTACATTTCTCCACTAAAGTTTCTGTTTTTTCCCTTTGTAATTAATGAATGATTTGTGGGGAGACTCCTTGAGACTATGTAAATACCTTTTTTCTTTAAATTTTCTTTATTTTGTTATTGTTGAGAATGTATGGAGCGAAACATACACCAGTTCAACAGTTTTCATATGTACAGTTTTGTAACATTGAGTTTTCCAAGTTGAGCAACTGTTCTCAGCCTCATTTTCCAAGTTGTTTCTCCCTCATTAACATAAGCTCACTGCTCCCTAAGATTCCTAACCAATCTCTCAAGTTGCTGTTGTCCATTTAAATGCCCTTTTTCTAGTCAGATTTTTATCCACTAGTTTTAATTTGTGATTAAACTATTAATGAATTTCAGAACTCTGTTTCTTTTACATTTATTATGTGGCATTCCACTGTAAGGATTTTCCCTTCTCCTTTATTTATTTATTCATTGTCAAGAACTGTGAAAGGTCTGGGATTTTACCCTACTTGCAAACTATTAAGTTAGCCTGTTAACTACTTCTTAGATGTTAGCAGAAGGCATTAAACTCCTGGGTCAGATCCTCAGTAATTTGTTACTGAACTTCATTTAGTTTGCCCACTGATTTCACTGATGTTTCCCATGTTTGCTGAGTCTCACAGGTGACATAGGTGAGTATAGGTGGATTTTTGCATATGCAATGGATACAGGTAACAGGGACTAGGACTTGTTATGTGTTGATTTGTGTTCCCCCAAAGATATGTTCAAATCCTAAACGCCAGTAGCTGTGAATGTTACCTGATTTGGAAATAGAGTCTTTCCAGATATAATTAGACTTCTCAAGCCACCCTTTGAAATATTCCAATCAGTTCTTTCACTTCATCTTTTCTTCCATTTGCTTTAGTTATTTTGTAGTTAAGAGCAAGTTTCAGAGTCTCTTCTGACATCCATTTTGGTCCTTTCTTCTGACATCCATTTTGGACCTTTTTCTTTCTTCATGTACAGTGTCCTTGATGTCAGCCTGCAACTCATCGTCTTTTGTCATTAGTGCTCAATGCATTATATCTATTCTTAAAATGGTCTCTAAATTCAGGTGGGCTATACTCAAGATTTGATTTTGGCTCTCATGGACTTGTTTTAATTTTCTTTAGTTTCACCTTGAACTTACCTATAAGCAAATGATGGTCTGTCCTGCAGTTGGCCCCTGGCCTTTTTCTGACTGATGATACTGAGCTTCTCCATTGTCCCTTTCCACAGATACAGTTGATTTGATGCCTGTGTATTCCCATTTAAACCTTTAAGGT